TAATTTAATTTGATGTTTATAAGTTCAAATAGAAATAACTATAAACATAATTATAGCATTTCTGAAACTAATCGAAATGATTATTGATTAATTTAAAAAATATATATGCTTACTATCAGAGTTTTACAAAATATAGTAATAATGTTTCAAACTTATTGGAAGAACTTTTATTTTTATTTTTAGAATTGTAAACATAAATAAAAATAGAATAGTTATTTTTAAATCGCCAAGAAATTTTCACTTCATTATTTCAGAAGAACAAAAAGAAGTTATACGACAAATACATTAAAATTAAAGTACATAGAACATTCTATATAATAGAAAAAAGAGATTGTTCTACTGGCTTAAATACACTCTGAACAGTTGAAATTTCATTTGGAATTTTGTTTGTGGTGTGAGGATTTGTTTCTTTTTCAATACAATTGAGCTTTTTCAGTCTTCCAAAGAAATGATTCTTTACATCATTTGGTGATCTTCCTTCTAAATAACTTGCAATAGTTGTCCATTTATTTCCTATTTCTTTTCTTTTTTGAAGAATAAGACAATCCTCTTCTTGACTCCAAGGTCGATGATAGATGGATTCGTTGTTATTGAGATACCGTTCTCTACATTGTTTCTTTGTTCTGGTTGGAACCATAGAAGCAACTTCTTCCCAGTTATTAGTTCCATATCGTTTAATTCCTTCCATCAACTGCATTTCTTCTCTTGTTGTCCAAATTCTGACAATCTTCTTTTTAATAATGTTTGAATATGAAGAATTGTTTGTAGATGGTGTATGTATGCACGAACTCATAAAAATGATGTCTAAGTTCAAAGAGTTGTGTTTAAACAATATCTTCAAACAAGATTTGTTTTCTGTAAATTTCTATTGTTTTATAAATAAACAAACATTTTTCTGTTTTGATTCTTCTTGAAATATTGTTATTTATTTTTCTGTTGTATTATTAACCAAATAACACTGTTTTGTAAAACAAAATAAAATAAGTTAGTTTTTGGTATAATAAAATCAAAAAGAATGAAGTGAAGTTCAATTGAAAATGAGGAGATTGAAGAGAAATGAAGAAGTGGTTTTAATGGAGACACAAGGAATACGATTAAAGTTAATTTAAATTGGGGTTAATGAGAAAAGGTGGATAGAAGAATAGAATGAGGAGTTGAAGCAATAGAAGAGAGAAAAAGAGTAAATAGTAAAATGAAAAAAAAAGAAATAAACAAAAAGAACTGATAATTTATTGAGAAGGAAGAGTCATGAGTAATTCAAGTAAATCAGAAGAACACCTTGGAATTGAGGATCTTTTATCTCTTGAAAACCCAACTCCAGACGTCATATTTTGTTTAAATACTGATCACATAACAAAAATTAAACAAACGATAATAGCTATTCCATACATTAATTTTGTGTTAAATGAACATTATCAAGAGGTTTTATCAGCAAATGATTTCCAGTCAATGTGTCTTCAATTAAATCTATTAAAGAAAAGAATCATTGCTAACACATACCTAGAATCAAAAATTAAAAAGAAATTATTTTTAACATTTGTTCATCACATTAATCAATTCTTTGATAATTATGGTGATGCTTCTCAACTACAGTTTGTTATTTTATTGTATTTTATTTAGAAGGGTTGACTTTAATTTGATTATGAAGAATTAAATAACCACTATTTATTTTTCTACTTCTTCTTAAATTTGTATTTATTGCACTGAATTATGTATTAATACGCTTTAGTAATGTGTCACAATTACAACCACTTCCTCTTCCAGTACAAACAGAATTCCCTCTAATTCAACCACCACAAGAAGGAATTCTTTTAAATCAACCAATGGCGTCATTACCTGTGATAAATTCACAATATCCAATGGTAAATTATCCAATGACTGTGGTTGATTATAACCAATACCCACTTGTAAAATCTGAATCTCAACTCAATGACTACTTATCACTTAATCAATCAAAAGTAAATTTCATAGAAACAGATTATTCTCAATTAACATCAATGCCTGCACAAATTACTCCTTTAATTCATCCTACTGATACTTCTTTAACTAAACTACGAACTAACTTAATACAAGAACTTCAAAATGCTTCTTCTCAAATATTAGGAGCAATTGCACAGAAATATAAACCAGGCGAAGATGACGTTGTTATTGATATAGATACATTAACAATTGATGATATTAATAATATTCTTATTCAAATACAACAACAATGACTATCCTCATTCTTTTAATAACGTTTTGTATTTTATTATTTAGTAATTTGATTAACAACTGTTTCTTCTATAAA